GACCCTATGAACTACAATGTTTTTACTTTTTTTTTTTTTGGTACTGGGGGATTGAATCCAGGAGCTCTAAACGACTGAGCCACATTCCCAGCCCTTTTAATTAATTAATTTTTAAGACAGGATCTTGCCAAGTTGCTTAGGCCCTTGTTAATTGCTGAGACTGGATATGAACCTGTGATCCTCCTGCCTCAGCCTGTTGCTTCCATTACAAGCATATGCCACAGGCCTGCCTGTTTTATTTTTACATTTTTTAAAATATATTTTTTAGATGTTGATGAACCTTTATTTTATTAATTTATTTATATGTGGTGCTGAGAATCAAACCCAGTGCCTCACACATGCTAAGCAAGTGCTCTGCCACTGAGCCACAACCCCAACCCTACATTTTTAAATGGTTGAAAGATAACATTTCATGACTTTTGAAAATTACACAAAATTCATACTTCAGTGTCCAAAGTACAGTTTTACTGGAATACAGCCATATTCATTTGTTTATATATTGTCTATGACTTCTTTTGAGTTACAATAGCAGACTCAAACACTTGCCCCATAAACCTTATAGTCCACAAAACCAAAAGCATCTACTATCTGGTCTTTGACAGAAAAAGACATTTGTCAACCTCTGAACCAAGGGGATGTTCAGAGACTGTTTTAAAAAAAMATATTAAGCCAGGTGTATTGGAGCTGGGAGTGGTGGCACATACTTGTAATCCCCGTGACTCAGAGGCTGGGGCAAGAGGATTGCAAGTTTGAGGCCAGCTGCAGCAATTTAGCAAGACCCTAAGCAACTCAGCAAGACCCTGTCTCAAAATAAAAAAGCGATGGGGATGTGGCTCAGTGGTAAAACACCCCTGAGTTCAATTCCTGGTACCTAATTTTTTTAATGAAAAAATAAATAAAAACATTAGATTTCAGCCTTTGAAGCTATAATCTATAATCTTATCAATAAAGAGTATAAAGGGCTGGGGATGTGGCTCAAGCAGTAGCTCGCTTGCCTGGCAAGCGCGGGGCGCTGGGTTCGTTCGATCCTCAGCACCACATAAAGATGTAGTGCCTGCTGAAAACTAAAAATTAAATATTAAAAAGTTCTCTCTCTCTCTTTAAAAATAAAAATAAAAAATAAAGAGTATAAAGATTTACCTTTGTCCTAGCAACCCTCCACCACAAATTTAGGTCCACTCCAAGAAGTCTATAAACTTTTTTAAGAATGTTGTCAAATTGGCAGACCAAGGGTACAGTATTTAATTTCGATGTTATAGTGGGGCACTATTCCACAAGCCCATCTGAGGATTATGCAATTACTTGTAGGAATATATAGTTGTTTGATTTTGGTATTTACTATGGAGTTCAGACTCTGAAGGGACAAATAGGCATTGCCCAGGAGAGAGGGAAAACATATCTAGTAGAAAAATAAGTCTAAAAGGTAATGATTTTTATTGTCCTTTAGGACATGAACCAGTTTTGTATCTAACTCAGTATCATATTTTATTTTATTTTTGGTACCAGGGATTGAACTCAGGAGACTCGGCCACTGAGCCACATCCTCAGCCCTATTTGTATTTTATTTAGAGACAGGGTCTCACTGAGTTGTTTAGCACCTCGCTTTTGCTGAGGCTGGCTTTGAATTCTGGCTGAACCCTGCTTCAGCCGCCTGAGCCACTGGGATTACAGGCATGTGCCACTGTGCCTGGCCCCATCCCATTTCTTTTTGAGATAGTCTAAGTTGCTGACTCTGGCCTTGGAACTTATGGTCTGCCTGCAGCAGCCTCCCAAATTTCAGGGATTACAGGTGTGCACCATTGGGCCTGCCTCCAGTAATCATATTTTAATATTCTTCCTTAAGTACCTGTCTATATCCAGATCATCAATGTGATTTACAATCTTACTAAGGGGACTCCCTTCATTGGTGAGTTAATAAATCTTTTTTACATATTAATTTTATGTTTAGATGTCATGTTTTTATCTCTTTGAAGATTTTGATAGTACATATGGTATGATTTTCTCATGAATAGTTTATTTGTCTTATGAAAGGGTCTCACCATGATGCCCAGGCTTTTCTTGAACTCATGTTGAAGTAATCCTCCTGCCTCAGCAGTAATTGGAAGAATGTTAAGATTTTTTAAAAATTATGCATGTATAGCTGGGCATGGTGGCACACACCTATAACCCAGTGACCTGGAAGGCTGAGTCAGGAGGATGGCAAGTTCAAAGCCAGCCTCAGCAATTCAGAGAGGCACTAAGCAATTTAGCAAGACTCTGTCTCAAAATAAAAACTAAAAAGGGCTGGGGATGTGGCTCAGTGGTTAAGTGGCCCCAGGCCAGGTTCAATACCTGGTACCAGAAAATAAATAAATAATGTATATATATATGTATATTTAGATATATGAAGTTCCAAAAGATGCTGACTTTTCAAACTGGCAAAGAGGTCACCTCTATAGGATCAGGGTACAGGAGGGAAACTGCTAACATCCACTTTATGCCTGTAGATATGCTAATCTTCTATAAGGACATAGTCATGGGCTGGGGTTGTAGCTCAGTGGAAGAGTGTTTGTCTAGCACAGGTGAGGCAATGGGTTCAATCCTCACCACCACATAAAATATATTGTTTCTCTCTACAACTAAAATATTTTAGAATATATATTCATATATTGCTTGGGCTCCTTCTAAAATAGCATTGAGTTAGGAATTTCAATGTATTGAAGTTCACTTATACTGAAATGAGAATTTGGGTGCAAATACCTATCTGAACAATGGGACCACGGATGTGCATTGGGACATCACCCTTTTGATGTGCTTTAAATTTGTTACTAGAATGAAATGCCTGAAGCAGGCTACTTTGTGAAAAGAGATTTATTTTGGATGCTGGAAGTCTGAACATGACAGTGCTTCTGGCAAGCCTCCTTCCCGCAGACTGCRCCACATCATGTGTTTATCTGTGTGGTCTCTCTTCTTGATATAAAGCCACCAGGATTCAATCAAAGGGGTTCTACCCTAATGACATAATCTAGTTGCTTCYCTCAAAGCCTCTCCTCTGAACACCAAAGCCTGCTAAAGCTGCTGCCCTCTTAATACCATTAATATGAGATTTAGGGGATTAAACTCTGGCATGAGTTCAGGGGTCAAACCATATATTCAAACTCTAGCGGGTTGGGGTGTGGCTCAGTTCAGCACTTGGCTTAACACGCTCAAGGTCCTGGGTTTGGTCCCCAACATTGCAAAAAAAAAAAAAATACACAGCCACATGGTTAGGTCAGGGGTCTGAGGAACTGCTGTGATTTGCGGCAGATGGGGAGGAGGGAGCAAGCATGGATGATGGCTGTAGGTTCCAATCCTACTGCGTGGAGGTGGGAGACTTCAGGTCTTGGTCTGATCTAGAACCTAACTTTCTGGGCAGGCAGCTGGGCAGGAGACAGTAGGCTGGCACGGTGGACCTGAGTTACTCCCTCTCCTACTTCAACCCCTGGGAGCTTTTATATCCTCCATACCATTTTTCACAGCTTCTCTGGTTTGTTTTGTTGACAGCAGTGGAATTCTCACCTCTCACCTGCGTGAAGGAAATTGTTTTTTCTGGGCTTGTGTCTGCCCCTCCCTGCTCTGTCTCAAGGAGGATGGGATCTGAGCTCCAGAATAGACTCAGTGTGGCTCAATGGCTATGCAAGTTTGAGGAAAACAATCCCTGACTCAGACTTGATAATAAAAAAGGCCTGATGCTGCCAGCCCCAGAGCTCTGTGGGACTCTGGAAATGAGGGAGATGCTGAGCATCCAAATATGGAGGGGAAAGCTGGTCAGCGTTGGTCCTGGAGGAACACGAGAAAAAGTGGAAGAGCCAGCTGCTCTGAGCTACCCTGGACAGCAATGGAGGATGTATTGTCCCGTCTCTTCCACCCCAACAGGAAAGTGGGGCAAATACCTAGAACCTGCAATCCAGCCTAGGTCCCCTCACCAAGGATGCTTCCAGCTACACATCTGGGTCCATCTCATTTGCCTAAAACTTGCCACAGACCTGGGGCATGCCCTTTAACTCTGCTGTGCCTGGTCATTMGTCTGCAGAACGCACACGCACTACCTGCATCTGTGGAGATGCACACAGTGGAGTTGGGGTGGAACCATGGCAGGTGCTGTCCCTTTACCAGCACAAGGGCCCCACTGCTCTGCATCTCTTGCCCATGCCTCCCCACCTCAGAGCAACCCCAGCCATCCATGAAACACTCTTGTATTTGCTGGAACCAGCCTGCGTTCCAGAATTTTGTCCCCCCCCAGTGTCCTCCTAGTTCTGGAATCCCACTGCTATTCCGGATGGAGTGCCCTAGGTCCTCAGGGTTCTGCTGCTCTTCTGGGCAGTGCTGGTCTGCTCAAGCTCTCACATCTGACTTGAGTCTACACTGCGGCCAGGATGCGGTGGCGTGACCGCATAGCTGTGTTCTTCTTTCCACCAGGCATGATGCTTACCATGACCGCACTGCTGCTCTTCTTCATACACCTGGCCGTCTTTGCCAACGATGTACATAACTTCTGCATCACCCACCACTATGACCACATGAGCTTCCACTACACGACTGTCCTGATGGTAGGCCTGGGCAGGGGCTCAGGGCTGAGGGGCTGATGGAAACCCGCTGTTGTGTAAGGGGACCGCTCTCCCACTGGATGGGCCTACAGTTCTCCCAGGTGATCAGCATCTGCTGGGCTGCCATGGGGTCACTCTACGCGGAGATGACAGGTGACAAGTTTCTGCGGTGCTTTGCCCTGACCACCCTGAGTGAGTGGGAGGAGGTGTGCTAAGAGGAGGGGGAGTTTGGAACCCTAGGATGGAACAGGAGAGGACAGGGGTGTTGGGCTGATGGGGTCTCTCTCTTCTGCCCAGTGCTCAATGAAGCCATGTTCTTCAACCGCCTGTCCCTGGAGTTTCTGGCCATCCAATACCGGGAAGAAAACCACTGAGGCCTGGGGACTAGGGACGGGGATGAGAAGGGAGAAGGAAAAGGCTGCTTTGGGTGTTTTAATAAAGTCTGTTATTTATTTGCACCTGTCAGCTCCTTCAAGGGAGGAGGGTGGGAGGCTGGAGACCCAGGGGGAAGTAGGTTAAGATAAATGCTTGACCTRCATGACTCCTGACCTAGCCTGTAGCCACTCTGGTGGCCTTGGCCTTGGGTCAGGAATCTTAGTGTCTCAGGCTTGAAGGAGAGGAGTGGAAAAGAGACTCCTGGCCTCCCTGCCTCCCCTCCTTAGGATCCCAGGTCCTAGGCTGGCCCAGCCACAAGCAAGGGCTCAGGAGGGACCCACACGGATATGAGGGTTCATGAGTGGGTCGAGATTGGGATCGCTGTCAGCAGCAGCCCGGCCCAGGCGAGACATGAGGGCGAGGAGGGCCAGGAAACCCAGAAGGCCCAACAGTAGCAGCAGCCCCGCCCGCTGGAGCAGGGTCAGCGGCCGCTTTCGAGACCCAGCCCGGCTCCTGGGGGGAATGAGGGCAGAGTCAGGTTAGGCCCTTGGTCCCTGGGGCACAGAGAAGAGCCTTAGTCACCATCCTTGAGCCTCAGTTTCCTCATCTGCGCCACAGGGATGATCACCCCTGTACCTGCCACCAGGTGGAGTCATTGTGCAGCTCACAGCAGCTGAGGCACATGTTCTAGCTGAGACTGTGTTTTGGAAACTGGGATATGTCAGGCATGGGTTACAAAGATTGGGTGCTGTTGGAGCAGGAAGGGGCCACAGAGAGCCCAAGTCCAGACATCCTACAGGAGGTAAGAACAGCCACAGAGAGAGCACCCCAAGGTAGCTACTGCCCAGCCGAGGCCTCTGCACAGACCCTGCACTGCATGCCACCAATGCCCAGAACCAGCCCTGCTGTCATCAGATCTTTCCTCTCTTGGATTATCTCCTCTCCTCCCCTTCCTGCCATCCTGTCCTGACTGACCCCATATACCTGAGCAACTGGGCCAGCCAGCCCAGGGCTGGCCGGCGGCGGTACTTGTCATCATCACAATCCCCATGGAGGCCAGGTAGTCGGTCATCATCCCGCGTGTCATACACCTTCCTTGGGGCTGCAGGGATGAAGCCACCAGCATCAACAGACTCAGAGAAACTAGCCCTGTGCAGGGGGGTATCCTAACCTCCCCAGCCTGATAGAGTATCTTGGAACTGAGGGGAGGCCATGTCTGTGCTTAGGGTGAGGAAGTGCCACTTTGGGGGAGGCTCTGGATCCCCAAGTTGCCTCCACCCACACCACCCATGCCCTTTCTGTCCTTCTCTGGCTGGGACAATCCCATGGCTCACCATGAGTCAAGGGCTCAGTATTGCCCATGTGGATGACCGTGTGCTGCTCGGGTCGACTGGGAGAGGCAGGGGGTCGGGGAGCCTGGCTGTAGAAGGCTGGGGCAGCGGAAGCACTGTCTATGTCCTCCTGTCCGGGGGTACTGGTGGCTGTGGGTATGGAGAGAGCCATGAGCAATGCAGAAAGGCAAGGTCCCAGAAAGCAGGTAAAGGCCACCACTTACCATTAAAGCTGGACCAATCAGAGAAGTCGGAGGAATTGAGGGGCTCAGGCTCTGGGCTTATCACCTCATCAATCTGGAGGAAGGAATTTGGGTCACTAGCCTGACCAGTGTTGTCCCCACCCACCCATCTGGCGAAGAAGGTAAGGCTTGGGGCAAACAGATGGTCAGACAAAGGGACTCTCACCAGAGGGAGGCCCAGTCCTGACCGGGCCCAGTTGACTGTGGCTAGCTTCTCTCTCAGTGCAGAGGCCACAGGGCCAGCCAGGTTGCTTGGAGGGAAGATGGGACCATTGCAGCTGGGGCACTGATAGCCAGCAGGTGCTGTATTTCGGGGTAGCTGGGCTGCACGTTCATTGAGGCAGGCCCAGTGGAAGAGATCTGAGGGCCCATGAAATAAGGGAGAGACACAGGAAGAAGACTCTTTGGGTTCTTAGCCCAGCAATAGCCCCCACCCCACTGCCAGGATGAAGGGACATACACATGTAGGCCCAGGGCCTCGCTTTTCCCTCCTCACTCCAGGTCCATTTCATCAGTGTTGCCTAAGACTTCGGCCTTCTTGGATACCACCCACTAAAGTCGAGGCAGATGCTACAAAACTGCCTAGCGCACAAAGAGGTAGGGTGGGCGGGAAGAAAATGCCACCAATGTCTTTTAGGGAGTCCTTTCTGGGCCTGTACTCATCATTCTCCTTGAGCTAACAGTGAATCAAGAATAGTTTCCAGACGGATTCCTAGATATACACATAGGCACAAGGATGCATGTACACATCTATGGACACAAATATTCCTGTGCTTATGAATATGTAACCCCAAAACAAATGCCATTCCTTATATCCACACTAGCTCCCATGAACTCATTGTATATGCTCACATGGTTGCTAACACTCAAGGATCCTGATCAATGTTTTCTCCTTGTATGTCCATAACACACCTGTGACCATCCACTAATGTACTAATGAACATCCCATGTAGAGACACATGAAGTCATGCAAATTACACATACCCTCACATTGAAAAACACATAGAGCTGTCTCTTTTGYATCAGCTCCTTCAAAAATTGAAGCTGACGTTCTTACACCAGACCAAAGTCATAACACATATGACTGATGGTTCCCTCTAGCTAACTTTACTGTGGGAAACTCTTCCTCTGTTTGGTACTGGGATGAATAATAGATCCTAAATATCTGAAAGTCCCATGCTGGTGTAGCTGGCAACTGCCGTCATCATAAGTTTGACAGGCTCTTGCTCAACTCTCCAAGACTGGCAGAGCAGGAAGTAGGAGCTTTAATTTTTAGGAAAAGACATAGGGGCCTAGAAAGGGAAAATGACTTGCTTRAGCTTACATAGCAGGGAATTAACCTAACAGGGCAGGAATCTAGGGCTCTGGCCTCCCAGGCCTGGGGAATTTATTATATGCTGCTTCTGGAGGAGGGCTCGGAAACCAATCACCAAGATGGCTCTGGGGCTACCCTGATCCCTCCAGGATGACCAGGCCTCACCATAGCAAACAAGGCGGGTTGTCTCTCGGCTGGCCAGAGGTGTGCTGCACAGGCGGCAATTGGGGTTGTAGTCACTATCTTGTAGCCACTGCAGGTAGGACTGGACGATGCACTGGATGGAGTGGGAAAGAGAAGTCACAGTTGGAGCCTAGGCTCCAAGACCAACCACTCCAAAGTCCAACTGCCTCTTTTCTCTCACCACAGACACATATCCTTTCGTTTGTTCAACTAGTAAACATTTATTAAGCACCTACTATATGCCTGACTCTCTTAGGGGCTGGGGCTATGGCAGTGAGCAAAATAAACCCAGTCCTTGCCCTTATGGAGCTTACAGTCTAGAGTGGTGCCCCTCAAGGGTTTGGAGGAAGCCAATATCGCCAACCACCCAGTCCCCTGCTCAGGCGATCCTCTGAATGCCCCACCTTGGCGTGATTGGCTACCAGGCAGTGCTCACAGACGTTGACTCGGTGTTCAAAGCAGAACAGGTTGGTCACCTTCCTCTTGGGGCACTTGCAAAGTCCCATGACCGACCCTGGGGAAGAAGCCAGGTCCTACCAAGCTGCCACTTGGGTCTCACCAGCCCCGTCCGTTTCCACTTAACTTCGCCGACACCTCTCACATCCACGCAAACCCAAAATCCCGGTCTTGCTGATGTCGGGTCACGCCCCCTGCATAAATCCCCCGTACGGCGACCCCTCATTCTTTCGGTATCCCGCCCCCAGTCAGGCCTCTCAGTCAGYTACCCACTGATACCCCTGGCCCCGCCCCCAAAGCCCCGTCTGGGCCCCACCCCTTGCTAGCCCCGCCCCTTTCTTTACAGACCCCCCCACTCTCGAAGTTACTGATCCGCCGCGGCACCGGTCCCGACGTGCGCGAGCGGTGATTCGAGGCGCGGAAGGACAGGGATTGCGCTCTTCGTAGCTCCCGCTCTGCCCGCTTCAGCTCYGGCCGCTCCGATTATCCCTCCGCTGCCACGTCTCTTCCGGGTGCGGCGCGCGCTAATGACGACACCGCGCCACCGGCCACACCCCTGCAAAGGCTTGACAGGAAGGCGAGCGAAGAGGGCAAAATCCAAGCGTAGCGGCCCTCACGCCTTACGTCATTTCCGCTTCCTCTCTGAGCGGGCGGGTAATTCGAACACTTCCACTTGCAGCTGCAGACGGCCTTCCCTGTTGGCACGAGCCTCGGGCTGCGGCGGCAAAGGAGGTCGAGGCCCAGACTAGATATGACTGAGAGGCGAACGCGGTCCGGAGGGGCCGCTCGGCGCTCGGGTGAGCAGAGGAAACGCGGGAGAGGTGGGGCTGAGCCGTTTGGGATCGCAGGCCCTTCCCCACCGAGCCAAAGAATGCTTTTCTCCCTCAGGAAGGCGCCCCCAGAGGGTTTGTTTGGGAACCTTCTCTGACCCACTCCAGTCTCGGTCTCTGGACTCTAGGGCCTGGAGTCCTGCTCAGCCTCTCTTCATTCTCTATAGGGCCCAGGACCCCTTCTTCTGCTACGTCTCTGCGGCGGTCCCAGCGGAAATCAGGCTCGAATCTTCCGAACTTCCTTCCTGAACTCAGTGGGAAGGTGAGCCCTGGGTTTCTCAGTTACTGCCCAAGAGGCCCCAACACTAATGTAGAGCTCATGATCACTCCTCTTTTTCAGGAACCCCATGCGGCTCCAGTCAGAAAGCCCATCGTTCTGAAGAAGATCGTGGCTCATGCTGTGGAGGTGAGGGTTAAGAGACGGGGTTGTGAGTGGGGGGCCAAAACTGGGAGATGGCTATTTGATCAGTTGGTGTTGTTCCCCACAGATCCCAGCTGTCCAGTCGCCTCGCAGGAGCTCTAGGGTGAGTTCATTTCCAACGGCTTAGTTGAGTGGGATCCAGGTCACTATAGAGCTGGGGAGCAGCATACTGTCTTCTCACATCCACTCAGGGAGCTCTTTTGCAGTATTCTGGAACAATTTACTTTTGGACAACATCGTGCATTGCCAATCTTGATTACTCCCTGCAGACTTTTTCATTTTTAGCTCTTTATGACCTGTGTATTTTCTACCATTTTCCTTAAAATGCTGAGCTGTGTCCTATCCACTGTCTATCCGTTTTATTCTCAGTTTTTATATGTGGTTGTTATGAGTTATATTATGGTGCTTTTACATTTTTAGCAGAACTTGTTACAGAGAATTAAGAGGAAATCTGACTGGGGGYATAGGTCAGTTGGTAGAGTGCTTGACACTAAAGCACAAGGCCCTGGATTCAATCCCTAGCACATACACACACACACACAAAGAGGAAATCTGAAGACATAGTCAGTTAGAAATGTTAATTTTATTCTTTGAAGAGTTTGTGGGATTTACAGATGGGGAGAAAGACAAATGACCAAGTGATTGCAATATTATTTGTCCAGAGCTGCAAAAAGAAAACCAGGTGCTATGATGGTACCCAACCCAGTGGCTCAGGGGTGTTTTTACACATATTTAGAAAATTTTGTGGGGGGGGGGGTACCAAGGATTGAACTCAGGGACACTGGACTATTGAGCCACATCCCCAGCCCTATTTTCTATTTTATTTAGGGACAGGATCTCACTGAGTTGCTTAGCACCTTGCTTTTGCTGAGGCTGGCTTTGAACTTCTCATCCTCCTGCCTTAGCCTCCTGAACCGCTGGAATTACAAGCATGTGCCATCCACACTTGGCTAGGAATTTTTTTATTAGCTTATTAATAGACATAATATTGGGGTCAACTTTGACATAATTATACAGTGTGAAACATAATTTACTCCAGTCCTCAGCACTTTCCTTCCTTTCTTCCCCTTTCTTTTCCTTTTCCTCTACTTCATTGATCTTTCTTCTGGTTTTATATATTTTTTCTTTTTAAAAAAAATATTTTTTAGATGTTGGTGGACCTTTATTTTATTCATTTCTTTATCTGTGGTGCTGAGAATCGAACCCAGTGCTTCACACATGCTAGGCAAGTTCTCTACCACTAAGCCACAACTGCAGCCCCTATATTTTTTTCTTAATTAGTGCATCATGGATATACATAAAGATGAAATTCACTGTGGTATATTCATGTACATAGGAATGTTTGATCAAAATATTCCCACTGTTCTTCCCTTTTTCTGTCTTGCCCTCAATCCCCTTCCTCTATTCCACTGATCTCTCTTCTGTTTTCTTGGGATTCTCCTCTCCTTCTAATTTTTTTGTTCTTTTTTTTCCCTTAGTTTGGTCTGGCTTCCACATATGAGAGAAAACATTCTGCCCTTGATTTTTCTGGGTCTGGCTTAGTTTACTTAGCATGATGTTCTCCAGTTCCACCCATTTACCAGCAAATGCCATAATTTTATTCTTCTTTATGGCTTAAACCAAATTAAAAGTAGGGGTATTCTGGGCAAAATAAGCCATGTTTGCAGAGATCTAGAGTCTAAAGAAAACTTATGAGGTGTGAGGAATGGTAATTTGTGTCTGCAACAGACTTAGTCAGGGTAGGGGAGAGAGCTTGCTAAGCCAGGGCAGATCCTAATGAGACATGAAGAGCAAATTCCAGGGCTTGGGCCTCGTCCTTGGTCTGTGGGCAGCCTTTGGAAATGTTTTGTTGATGTTGTTATTGTTGTTGGGGATGGTGCTGGAGATCAAACCCAGGGCCTTGTGCGTGCCAAGTAGGTACTCTACCACTGAGCTACCTCCAGCTGACCTTTGAAAAGTTTTAAGGTAGGTAGTGACTGAGTCAAGCTTGAGTATTACATAAAGAACCCTCTGGGGACATGAGGAGAATGACTGTGCTAGGGCCTCCACGCCAGGTGTGAGGACGTGAAGCTCAGGAATCCTTATATAAGATGGTAAGGGCCTGACTAAGGTATTGGCAGAGTGGCACCTTCCTTTCCCCATTTTACGCATGACTGACCTGTCACGCATCACTGGACTCAAAGGAGATCTCCTCCCATAGACCTTCCTTGACACCCTTACCCGGTCACTGTCACTTTCTATGTGTAATTCTCCTCAGGCCTTAACAGCGTGAGTGTACTTACTTGCATGTTTGATGTCTTTCTCTCCCTCTATGAACATAGACATCTGAGAGCAAGGACCTCAGTGGTAGCCACTTCTTCTTYTTTTTTTTTTTTTTAATATTCTTAAGTTTTAGGTGGACACAATATCTTTACATTACATTTATGTGGTGCTGAGGATCAAACCCAGTGCCTCATGCATGCTAGGAGAACACTTTACCTCTGAGCCACAATCCCAGGTCTAGCCACTTGTTTTTATTTGTTGACTGATAGATTCATGAAACACTGAGCAGGATAAAGTTGCTGGAATCTGGTCAACTGGCCATAGGAAATGAGGAAGAAGTAGTCAAGAGTAATCCTAATTCTGTTCATCATCCCTTTTACTAACACCTATCATATAGGTTCCCCARAGCTTGAAGTGAGGAAAAGTTTCCTGATAACTTTTAAAGTTATCAGGAAACTGATAAAAGTGTCCTGATCTACTTCCTTGGCTTTCGATCACAAGAGTCATTAAATTTGTCCTGCGTCCACCCTTGTCTTGGCCTTCAGGAAATTCAGTGTGAAGTTCATGGGCATGAATTCATCCTTATGAGCACCTACAAAATGCAGGGCTCTGCTGGAAGTGCCAGGCATAGGCAAGTCAGCCAGTAAGACTAAAGACCCCTGCTCTCAGGTAACTTCCATTCTGATTGGGTGATTGAGTCAACCATTAACCAAGTCAACATCAGGTAGCAGTGTTGCTACACAGGAAAYAAAAGAGGTCATTGTGACAGAATAGCTAGCAGAAGCGAGATGGGCTGATGCAGATTTGATGGTGAGGGACAGCCTCCCTGAGGAAGCATTGGAGCTGAATGGAATAATAAGGAGCAAATGTATGAACCTCTAAAATACATGTCTGCTGCCTTTGCCGTGGCTCTGTTGGTCTCTGCAGAAGCTCTCCAGTGGCTTACAGAGGACCCAGTGAAACACCCCCACCCTTGTTACCTCTCAAACCTCATCTTCAGCTCCTCTTCCCTCGGGTCACTGCAGCCACACTGGCCTCCTTGTTTCTTCATTCTGACTGGCACACTCTTGCCTCAGGACGTTTACATCTCTATTCCTGCTACTGAGAACACTTCCTTTAGATGTCCATATGACCCACTCCCTCACCGTTGTCGAGATATGTTTCACATGTCTCCTCAGTGAGGCCTATGATTCCAGCCCACTCCCAGAACTCTATCCAGTTGGTTTTTGTGGGCTTTGATTTTCTGTAGTGTTAACACCCTCACTTAACACATGGGTTCCTGTTATGTTTTAGAATAGAAGCACTGTAGCAGTAGAGTTTTAATTCATTCCCTGATGTATTCCCAGTGCCTAGAACAGTGCCTGGCACTGAACAAGGTGAACAAAATGGACATTTTAGGAAAAACTTAAGCAGCTRTATGACAAATGGATCATAGAAGGTAAGGCTGGAGACAGGCAAGGATTAGGAGTTCATTGAGCTTGTCTAGATGGAAGCTTGGGTGATTTAGTGAGAGGTGGCTGGATGCCAGGCACACTTTGAAACAGCAACAGCACTAGCAGATGCGGCAAGTATTCCTGAGGCAGAAAAGCAGGCTCCTCAGAAGCAATGACTAGTTTCTTTTTAAAAGTATCCGTTCTGGGCTGGGGTTATGGCTCAGTGATAGAGCACTTGCCTAGCACATGTGAGGCACTGGGTTCGATCCTCAGCACCACATAAAAATAAATAAGTAAAATAAAGATATTGTGTTCATCTAAAAAACAAAAAAAAGAAGAAGAATTATCTGTCCTTTCCAGCCAGAGTCTCCTTGGGCCTGGAAGTAAGTGGTCCAGAAATGTGTTCTCTCCTGTTCTGGTACAGATTGCTTTTTTCTTGGAGAAAGAAAACAACCCTCCTAACAGGCAGCCCACTAAAGAGGAACTATTCAAGACTCCTAGTATCCCTGTCACACCCACCACCACTCCTATGTCATGCATCCTGAATGGTGAGTCCAACTTCAAGGAAGGAGAACTGGATGCCAGAGACTTGGACATGTCTAAGAAAGTCAGGCGATCCTACAGCCGGCTGGAGATCCTCGGCTCTGCCTCCACCTCCACCCCAGGCCAACGGTCCTACTTTGGCTTTGGGGGCCCTGAAGACTTGTCCAAAGTCTCACCTGTGGTGTGTTCAAATTTAACTGAGGTCCCTGCAAAGCTCTGGGCCCCAGATACAACGCTCCCTGGAATCTCTCCCCCAATCCTGAAAGAGAAACGGAAGAAGAAAAAGGTGCCTGAGATCCTGGTGAGTGAGAGGTGGGGCCTTTTCTGTCCTCTGGCTGGCCATGCACACTGGAGGCTCTACACATAGGAGACATGCAGGGCCAGGGTGCAACTGACTCTTGGGGGAAGGTAGCACCTGCAAGGTGTGGGTGATGTGCTGCAGCTAACATAGCCACCTTGCCACTTACCTGCCCCCATTTCTCTTCCCTAGAAATCGGAACTGGATGAGTGGGCTGCGGCCATGAATGCTGAGTTTGAAGCTGCTGAGCAGTTTGACCTCCTGATTGAATGATGTGAAGTGGGGGTGCTCCTGGCTAGTCTCTCCCCTCCTCTCCCTGTACATAGCCCCTTTTGATGGCACAGACACTGGGGGTCCCCTCTGCTGGCTTTGTTACCTGTGCAGGTGCTATTGCTGCACATGAGGCCTAGCTACTCCTGAAGGCTTGGGCAGCCTCACTAGTTCAGGAAATGGGCCTGGCCTGGCCACTCATTCATCCTGACTAGTCACTCTCCTTCCTATCTTCCCAAGTACTGGGGGTCAGAGCCTATATCTGCTCTTGCTGGGAATTRTGGTTGCTCTAAACAGGACATGCAGAGGGTGGCCAGCCTTAAGCTGTCCCTTTGGAGTTGTCCTCTGTTGATGGCTTGGTTCCCAGCCACAGGCACATGTGTGTAAAGAGGCTTTGGATTCCGTGGGTTTCTTGTTTGATTCCATAGATAGTTCAGGGGAGAATTCATGGGTTGGAGGACACTTCTACCCTTGAGGAAGAAGCTGGACATTCAACCTATGGTGACAAGTTTTGGAGGAGTGGAGAGCCTTAGTTGAGTCTCAGACCATAAATGTTTAAGGTGCCGGAGCCGGGTGAGCTGTCGAGCCGTCGAGGTGTTTGATGAATGGCAGGCTGAGGGGGTGCTGCTGCTTGCAGCAGAGTGCATTTCAGGATGTGGCTGCCAGGGCCTTGGACTCTCATGCCCTGGTACCTGGGGCTTATCATCTCTGAACAGGTAGCCTGCAACAGGGGTCAGGTGACCCCTTTTCTCACCCACAAGGTCCCAGTCCCACTAGCATTTTGCAGATACAATTATAAAGTTTTAGGTAGCTTTTCTTGTGTGCCAGAATACTGCTGGGGTTGGTGGCAAGTTTCACTTTTAGTCTCCTTAAGCCCTCACCTGAGAACACTGCCAGGGTGGGTGCATCTCACTGACTTGGGAACTTTCCCGCCATTCCCTTTTCCGTGCTGGCGGAAGGTGTGGTTTCAGAGACCGCCCTGCCCACTRAGAGGCAGGCGTACTGCCCCTGGGCCTGTTGCACTTTTGATGTTGGCGAGCTCATGGAAATAGAAGCTCACAGGCTGTGGAGAGGCTGGTGGACCACCAGGAAGAGGAGCACTTGGCAGGGGACTGGACGGAACAGGGTGGGCCTGGTGGGCATGAAGGAAGGCCCTGGGAGACCTAGGCTGTCTGTCCAGCACCTTGTGCTCTGTGGAGGCTGCAGACTGGCCCTCTTGCCGGGGCCGACCCAGGTATCTGACTGGACCACGCCTGTAGAACTCTCCTCAGCTGGTCAGCAAGGCAGAGCCTTTGGGAAGAATCAGGAGCCTCATGGTGTTGAGTTGATCTTGTCCCAGCAAGCCTTTCTCTGTTCCTGGGGAGCTGTATGCAGTATAAAGAAAAACTGGGAGTCTGTTTTGAAATAAAGACGTGATTAAAGAGTTTGCCTGTTCAGACTGCTTTTATTGGGTCAGAGGCAGAGCCCAGGATATGAGACCCAGGATGCCAAGTCCGGGCCATGTCACAAGTGTTGTCCCTCTGTAACAGGCTGCCAGCCTGGCCTCTCTTCAGTGGCCCTGTGATAGATCCCTGCCCCCACATCCTGGTGCGTTTCTTCTGTCCAGTTACCCATCCCTGTCTCAGGAGGAAAGAAATGAGGTCTGGGCGAGGTGCCTGGGAACAAATCCTCCTGAGTCCAGCCTCCTTCCCTTTCCTTTGAAGGAGCCTGTGCCCTTCACACGGTGGCCTGGCCTGGACTCTGCTCGGCAGTGGGTGATGCAGGAGCGCCTGGAGAACGGGTCCAAGATGCTAATTCCTAGGAATCCTCCCAGTTGCGCTGTGGTAAGGCATAGGAGTGGTAACGCAGGTGGCACCTCCCAGCCTCGTTTCCCTCTCGTCCCTGTGTTCTGGTCTCCTGGTCCTGAAGAAGTCAGGGTGGTGAGATTCTCCCCAGAGCCACTCCCCCCACCCATGGGAGACGGGTGGAGGCCAGCTTTCTGAGACCTCAGTTCCCTTTCCTCCAAGTTCTAACCAGTTTATTTTAGTTTTATTGTAAAAGATGCCACCTTTTTTATTTCTTGAAATATACATTTTTTTTTTTAGTTGTAGTTAGGCACTGTATCTTTATTTATTTTTTTGTGGTGCTGAGAGTCAAACCCAGGGTCTCGCACATGCTAAGCAAATGCTCTACCACTGAGCCACAACCCCAGCCCGCCATCCAGCAATCTTGACCAGCGTCTCGGCTGCTGCCATTGCCCCTTCCTGAGGCTGAGCCCCTTGAGGGATCTGCTTCCTCCCACTTTACTGGTCCTCCCAGCATCTGGTCTATACCAGGTCCACTTCCTCTCCTGTGCTCCCCCAGGACAAGATGGCAGGCTCTAACAGCCATCATTGCTGATCAATCTGACCCCACCTTTGACTTCTGAGRTTGTAGGCAAGTCACTTAACCTCTTTAGACTGTTTCTTTCTGGTGCCAGATACTGAACCCAGGGGTGCTTTACCACTGAGCCATATCCTTAGCCCTTTTAGTTTTTATTTCAAGATAGGGTCTCACTAAGTTTCTGAGGCTGGCCTCAGACTTGTGATCTTCCTGCCTTAGCCTCTGGAGGTGCTGGGATTATAGGTGTGTACCGCTGCACCTGGCTTACTTAGCTTCTTTGAATCTTGTGTTTTTTCTTGTTTTTAAGATAATTTGTTATCCAAAATTATATACATTATTTTATAATACAAGTATGTTTTACGAAATATTTGGGACATGCATACAAAATAAAAATTAATGTCCTTTATCCCAGATTTAAATTTTAATGGATATCCTATATTTCACTGACCACTCTACATGGGGTCACTAGTACCCGACAGGTGCCTGTTGTCAAGGGGCAGCTTCTGGGCTGGGGATGTGGCTCAGCGGTAGCGCGCTCGCCTGGCATGCGTGCGGCCCGGGTTCGATCCTCAGCACCACATACCAACAAAGATGTTGTGTCCGCCGAGAACTAAAAAATAAATATTAAAAAAATTCTCTCTCTCTCTCTCCTCTCTCACTCTCTCTTTAAAAAAAAATTTAAAAAAATAAAAATAAAAAAAAAAGAAAAAGTGCATGCTCTTTAAAAAAAAAAAAAAAGGGGGGGGGCAGCTTCTGTGATCCCACACACATCTTCCCCAGTACTCACAGTTGAGACACATAACTGTTGTCACAGCAAGTGCAGAAGGAAGAAAGGAAGGCTTCACACAACATACAGCACACTGTATAGAAGCCCACAAGTCCCTCAGGCCCAGGCAGAGTTCAGGGTGAAGATGGCCTACATCTGAGGTCACCACTGTCCTCAAATCAACTTGTCCTTAGTCACATAGCCAACAGGTACACAGGGTTCTGAAAAATTGAGGGTGAAAAATTGTGACAATTTTTTCTATTGACTTATGACTCTTTTTTCCATCATGGCATTTTATTTAGACACATTATATAGAAATAATATATATACTTACTTAGTAATATTTTTATAAAGTATAATATTGTTTTATACTACTTGCATGTGTAATAGATGTATTAGGTTCTTAGAAAAAGGGTCCTAGGATTTTCTCATGTGTTTTTATCTTGCTTCCTTGTGGTCTGTGAATCCAGCTGAGATCATCAGTCTCATGAAACCGAACTGATGGGATGGGGGTGGATGATCCTACCATCTTCCTAGATCCTTGAGTTGTACATCAACTCTGGGACTAATCCCTTCATGCTTGTTTAACCTGCCTGTGAGGGTCACAATTTCCCAGCTCTGTGATCATCAATGATTTCAAACTTGCCAATGTCCCATGCTTTATCATCACAGCTAAGAACCAATGGCTTTGGAGCACAATCTGATGAGAGCCTGGTATTTGCCTCTGATTCTGTTGATGCTCTGGAGAGCATTAGCCAGGACATTCATGGGCATCATTATGGTGGCATGGAAGGAAGGTGGAAGGAGAACAGGAGAGGCAAGCATTAAATTATAGGCAGCTTCAGACTTGTGACCTGGGACAAAACTGCTTTTCTAGTTCTGTTGTTAGAAGGTCTTACACAGCCTCTGGAGATGGAAATGTCCTCAGCCTCAGCCATGCCATCAATCACCATGGACCCCTCCTTGGGTGCTGGGAAGAGGCATTTGCTCAGCAGAGAAAACTGGGCAGCACTCACATTGGCAGAGTAGAGAGGGCAGTGGGGTGGGAGTGACCATGGCCAAGAACATGGTCTCAGGGATAAGTTTGGGATGGTGTCAGGAAGTAAGGTCCGTGGTTAGTCTGAATAGAAGCTTTTTTTTTTTTTAATATTTTTTAGTTGTAGTTGACACAATACCTTTATTTTATTTATATGTGGTGCTGAGGATTGAACCCAGGGCCTTGCACGTGCTAGACGAGTACTTCACCGCTCAGCCCCAGCCCCAGCCCCAGCCCCTGAATAGAAGTTTTTTTGAAGTAGAAAATTAGGTAGAAAACAAGGGCCTCGGGTTGGAAGTCAAACTCAGTGGGAGAGTACTTGCCTACCCATGTGCAAAGTCCTGGGTTAAATCCCTAGTGCCACACATACACACACACACAAAGCACGCATTTTTTAAATATAAAACTCTAATTAGGCATGCTATGTTGTATTGTTATATTTGCTGAATCTGACAGATCTAAGTCTTTTTTTATTTTTTCTTTTTGGTACCAGGGATTGAACTCACACTGAGCCACATCCCGAGCCCTTTTTTGTATTTTATTTAGAGACAGGGTCTCACTGAGTTGCTTAGTGCCTCGMATTTGTTGAGGCTGGCTTTGAACTCAAGATCCTCCTGCCTCAGCCTCCCAAGCCACTGGGATTCAGACTTGTGCCACCGCGCCCAGCCAGATCTAAATCTAATAACTCCGATGGCTCTAGATTCCTGGACAGTGGAGGCTTCCAGGATGAGAAGGCTGGCAGGTGGCATGGTGGGTATGGGTCACCAACCAGGCTGTATCTCCCTCAGTCTCTCAGGGGCAGGCGAGGAACCCCCTCCAAGGAGCTCTTGAATCCAGTGGTGCAGGCTGGTGAGGAGCAAAAGTCTATACCTCAGGTCTCCGGGGAGCCAAACGTGGAGGTGACAGCAAACACTGGGCCTCCCAAGGCAGAGGGGAGGCAGGAGGGCTGGAGAGGTTCTTTCTGGGCCTGGGTGAAGACCTGACCTCTTCCCGTGGCCTCAGCTGGGGAGTCTGGGCCTAGCGACGGGAGAACCTCCAGAATAGCTCTCATCCATACCTCCCTCACCACTCTGCCTCCTTGGGCTGGGGATGCCCAGCATGAGCCCCTGCAAAGCAGGGCGATGGCAGGGGCAGCAGAGTGCTGGAGGACCCAGATTGTGCGAGCAGCTCAAGACACTAGAGTCACCACAATACTTTCTCTGCAAAGCCACCTGTTTCAGAGCCAAAGCTAGACCTGAAGCCAGAACCTGCCTTCACGTTCCTGTTTACACTCCTGAATGCATCGGAAGACTCTGAATCGTAAGGCCAGTGTGTGTGTGTGTGTGTGTGTGTGTATGTGTGAGGGAGAGAGAGAGACACACACACACATAGACAGAATCAAGCGGGAGGCAAAGGGTGCTTCCTCCCCACAGGAACATCCAGACCTGGGTAGGACTCAGCCCTGGGCTGCGCAGATAGGACTCAAGGAGCCTGGGCTGCGGCTGGGCACTCCTACTCTGCGCCCTGCCCAGCCTCCAGATCCTCTGGTCCTACTCTCACTGCCCACCTGCCCAGGGATCCGGAGATCCAGGAGAACCTGTTCCTCGATCAGGAAGACTGGGGCCCCCAGCAGACCTCAAAGGAGATGAGGAATCTGCAGAATGATTGCAGGAGGTGAGCCGACTGGGCAGCCCCACAAGGCCAGGCCTGGTCCTCAGGCCAGGGCCATGGCTGCTGGCAGAGGCTGGGGTCGTCACTTGCCCTGCTTCCTTTCCCTCCTGCTCCCCTCCATTTCTTCTCCCCTCCTCCCACTCTGGCTCCTACCGCATCACCTTGCCAGCAGGCCCTCGCCTCCTTGCCACAGTGTCCTACCAGAGCAGGACCTGCTTCATGAGTGGGGGCCACATTTGGCCACATCTGTTCCCTTTCAATCTACTGTGTCGACGCCACATGGCTGGAGGGCAGTCTGGCAGCTTCCCATTTCCTGCCCACGTCCACGCGGGCAGTGGACATGGGGTTCCCCTCAGTGGAATGGGCTGGCTGAGAAATAAAAACTCATAGAAATAAAATGGTGAAAAAAAACACAGAAAGCAATTTCAGAAGCTGATCAGATGGCTCGAGCTTCTAGACAAAATGGGGCCACGCCTGCTTTATAAAGTGTATCGGGAACATCAAAGAGATTCTATAGAAGGATCTTCTCCAAAAAAGTTGAAAGGTGGGCTGCTCAGTGCCTAATGGGTTATGCCCGCATGTGTTTCACGAATAGC